GCAAAAAAAAAGGAGTAACCAGTCCCTCCCCTACTACTTACCTTTCAATATCAACATGTCCACAGGCTAGGAATAAAACAGTATTGTGATGTGCCGAGTATGCTCAATAAGCGTTTCTGACCATACCTACCAATTTCAACATGCCTGCAGGCTAGGGATAAGAAAATATTGACATCTGCCAAGTACGATAAACAAGCGTTCCGGACCATACCTACTAATTTCAACACGTCTACAGGCTAGGGATAAGAAAGTGTTAAGATGAGCCAGGTACGATTAATAAGCTTTCCTGATAATACATTTCAAATTCAACGTGTCCACAGAAAAAAAAATAGAGGTATACCTAGTGCGATTAATACTCGTTTCTGACCATACCTACCCATTTCAACATGTCTACTGGCTGGGGATAACAAAGTATTTAGATGTGACAGGCACGATTAGTAAGCGCTCCTTATCATACATTCCAAATTCAACATGTCAACAGGCTAGGGATAAGAAAGTGTTAAGATCTGCAAAGTACGATTAATAAGCGTTCCTGACCAAACCTTCCAATTTTCACATGTCCGCAGGTTAGGTAGAAAAAAGTATTTAGAAAGACCAAGTACGATTAATTATCGTTACTTACCATACCTACCAATTTCAACATGACTGCCGGCTAGGGATAACAAAGTATTCAGATGTGCCAGGTACGATTAATAAGCGTTCCTTATCATACATTTCAACTCAACATATCCAAAGAAAGAAAGTATTGAGATTTGCCAAGTATTATTAAGACGTGTTCCTTACCATACGTTCTAATTTCAATACGTCTACACGCTAGGAATAAGGAAGGTATGAGATGTGCCAAGTACGATTAATAAGCGTTCTTGCCCATGCCTTGCAATTTTAACATTTCTGCAAGTGAGGAATAAGAAAGTATCGAGCCGTGTGTCAAGTACGATTAATTATTGTTACTGACCATACCTTCCAATTTCAACATGTCTACAGGCTAGGGATAAGAAAGAATTGAGATGTGCGGGGTACGATTAATAAACGTTCCTGATCATACATTCCAACCTCAACATATCCAAAGAAAGAAAGTATTGAGATATGCCAAGTTCGGTTAATAAGCGTTTCTGACTATACCTACCAATTTCAACATGTCTATACCTCTACAGGCTAAGGGTAAAAAAGTATTGAGATGTGACAAGTACGATTCGTACGAAGAAGCGTTCCTGACCATACCTACTAATTTCAACATGTCTACTCGCTAGGGATAAAGAATTATTGAGATGTGCCAAGTACAATTAATAAGAGTTGCTGACCATACCTACCAATTTAAAAAGGCTATAGGCTAGGGATAAGAGAGTATTGAGATGTGCCAGGCACGATTAATAAGCGTTCCTGATCATACATTTCAAGTTCAACATGTCCAAAGAAAAAGAGTATTAAGATATACCAAGTACGATTACCACTCGTTTCTAACCATACCTTCCCATTTCAATTTATCTACCGGCTAGGGATAATAAAGTATTTGGATGTGACAGGTGCGATTAATAACCGTTCCTGACCATACATTGCAGTTTTAACATGTCCATAGGCTAGGGATAAGAAAGTATTGAGATGTGTCAAGTACGATTAATACTCGTTCCTGGCCATACCTACCCATTTCAACATGTCTACCGGCTAGGGATAACAAAGTACATAGATGTCCAGGTACGATTAATAAGCGTTCCTCATCATACATTCCAACTCAACATATCCAAAGAAATAAAGTATTGAGATGTGCCAAGTACTATTAAGAAGACTAGGAATAAGAAAGTATTGAGATGTGCCAACCCCGAGTAATAAGCGTCCCTTACAGTACCTACCAATTTTACCATGTCTGCTGGCTAGGGATAAAAAAAGTATTGAGATGGGCCAAGTACCCTTAATAAGCGCTCCTGACCATACCTACCAATTTCAATACGTCTACACCCTAGGGATAAGAAAGTATTGAGATGTGCCAGGAACGATTAATAAGCGTTCCTGGTCATACATTTCAATTTCAACATGTCCACAGACTAGGGATAGGAAAGTATTGAGATGTGCCAAGTACGATTAATAAGCTTTCGTTCCCATGCCCTGCAATTTTAACGTGTGTGCAAGTTAGGAATAAGAAAGTATTGAGATGTGCCAAGTACGATTAATAAGCGTTCCTGACCATACCTACCAATTTTGTCTAATGTCTACAGGCTAGGGATAAGAAAGTATTGAGATGTGCCAAGCACGATGAATAAGCGTTTCTGACCATAAATACCAATTTCAACAGGCCGACAGGCTAGGGATTTGAAAGTATTGAAATGTGCCAGGTACGATTAATTAGGGTTCCTGGCTATACATACCAATTTCAACATGTCTACAGGCAAGGGATAACAAAATATTGAGATGTGCCAAGTACGATTAATAATCGTCCCTGGCCACATTTACCAGTTTCAACCTGTCTGCAGGCTATAAATAAGAAAGTATAGAGATGTGGCAAGTATGATTAATAATCGTTTTTGACAATCTCTACCTAGTCTTACGCCCCCTGAAGGCTAAGGAAAAAAAAGGTACTGTATTGAGATGTGCCAAGTACGATTAATTCTGATCACATTTACCAGTTTTAACCTGTCTGCAGGCTATTGATAAGAAAGTATAGAGATGTGCCACTGAGTACGATTAATAATCGTTCCTGACCACATTTACCAATTTCAGCCTGTCTGGAAGCTATAGATAAGAAAGATGTGCCAATTGAAAGATTCTTTTGTCCGTGAAGACTGTATTTCTTTCACACACAAATTAATTTAAGTTGTCACTCATATGTCTATTTTTCCTGAACGAGTTATTGCTGAAGAGGTTTCATTTAAAAATTACACCATAAATAGCTTCATGCATATGAAAGTTCTAATCTCATTTTCCCTTCAAGTAAACCAATAACTTGGGCAAACTAGAAGGTCTTCGCCTTGGGAGTGTGGTTTTCGACTTTGAAAGATTGGTCTCTTAATTCTCACTTTATTAAGAAAATTGAGAAAATAAGGAGTATCTTAGATAATTGGTCGGCTAGAAGACTGACCCTCTTGGGTAAAATTACAATCATAAAAACTCTAGCCGTATCACAAATCGTCTACATATTGTCATCTCTTCCATCACCTCCTGACATACTCAAGACAATCAACTCTATATTGTAGGATTTCCTTTGGGACGTTAAGGGCGATAAAATCAAAAGGACGACAATGACAAATAATTACGCGAAAGGAGGACTTAAGATGTTAGATATTCAAAGCTTTAATGAATCCTTGAAAATGAAATGGATCCAAGGGTATCTAAAAGAAGAAAATAAAGGGAAGTGGAAACTTTTTTTTGACCATTACTTAGGGAAGTACGGAGAAAAACTATTGTTCCGAAGCAATTTGAAACAGCAAGATTCTACACTGCTCAACCTCAAGGACCCTCTCTTAAAAGAAATCGTACAGTACTGGACAAAATTTAATTACAAAGACGATAACCTCGATTTTGCCTCCACATATATATGGTACAAATCTCACATTAGAATTGAAAATAGCCCATTCTTCTACAGATCATTGTTGAGCGCGGGGATGAAGGAGATTAGAGATCTGTTAGATAACGACCAGAATTTTCTAAGCTATAACGCCTTCATAGATAAATATAGCACCAAAACCAACTATCTCGAATATCACAAAGTGATATCTGTTGTAGCACATTACAAGAAAGTACACTCTACAGCCTATCATGACCCAACTCCAAAAGATCCAGTTGATACCCTTCTGTCTCACACCAAAGTTTCCAAGAAAATTTATGAATGTCTAATAAACGAAAAAGCTTCTATACCATCAAGGAGTCAGGGAAAGTGGTTGGAAGAGAGAGACATTCATTGTAATCTTAGCATAATAGTAAACTGGGAAATACGTACTGCCTATCATCTCTGTGTACAAGAGAGTCAAAGCTTAGAGCGTTCCAATTTAAATTCCTTCACAGAAAAATAGCCACAAATGACTTTCTGTACAAAATAGGTATCAAACAAACAGATTCCTGTTCCTTTTGCGAGGAACAAAAAGAAACCCTCGTTCATCTATTCTGGACTTGCAAATACACTCAGAACTTCTGGAAAAGAATGTTCGAGTGGATCTCTCAAAATTTCAAAGATTTAGAAAACGTCTCTCCCTCCTTGTCTCTCTGTTTCGGTCTAATTGACGACCTAAAAGACCTTCTCTTTCATCACCTACTCCTTATAGCTAGACATTACATATACACTTGCAGACTTGGGAACAAGCTTCCTAAGCTGCAGGTGTATATACAGGTACTTATGAACTCGATAGAAAATGAAAAGCATATTGCATTCCACAATAACGACTCAAACGTCTTTGTACGGAAATGGTCTCGCTTTTAAAAATAACCTCTCACAAAATCTATTGCATTAACAATATATAAGAAGCGTAAAACGTAGAATCCCTTGACTTGAAATCAAAAATCTTGTATGACCTTTTGTGTGATTTTATTTTACTATATGTATATACTTTTTGCTTGATTTATTTGTTTATTTTAGTCTCGTACCTTTCTGTTTTCGGTGGCAATATTTGTTTTCTTTGTTTAGTCATAAAAATTAGTTGCATACTAGAAACAGCTCCACGTCTTTCAATTGCTTTGTAAAATGTAGAATCCCTTGACTTGAAATCAAATATCTTGTATGACTTTTTGTGTGATGTTATTTTACTATATGTATATACTACAATGTATGTCAATACTTGTTGTGGTAATAAAAAAAAACTATTGCATTTCATCGACGGACTAGTCATTGAAGTAACATTTCGAACTAAATCAGTAAAACATAAACAAATACAGTCATGTAAACGTGCGACAGATAAGGTTTCATTTGAACAGCCGATCACATCACAGCATTTTACCACAGAGATAAACTAGGGACTATTTTTGAAATGTCTCTATTATTGAATCTGGAAGTAAAAAGATTAACTTTAGCGCAAGTCTCAGACGATTGTAGTTTTCTTCTTTGAATTTCCGGCCTTTTCTGTAAAGTGAGCAATAGGCGTCAGTTCCAAGGCCACAGCCTGCTCATTACCATGGAATTCTTCTAGTTCTATGTCGCCCTCACTCCCCGACGAGCCACCGCAAATCTCTGGTTTCAGCAACTGTCGTCTCTCCTCTGATTCCGGATCGAATTGATCTTCCATGTCACCTGGTAATGGAGGCAAGGGATTGTTTGCAATATTTTCACTTGATCGCCTATAAGAAGAGAACAACGTTGTCAACCATAGTAGATTCCTATAAAATTGACCATACATTTTAGATCATGTGCAAGATTATAGAAGGGAACGTGAATCACACTAAAACATTTTACGACGAGCCGATAATTCTGTGAGACAAGATCGCAATGAACTATTTTATTATCATTATTTCAAATCTTGATGCCAACCGCAATGGACTCGAAACATGATTTGTACGCTGCGAACGGAGTTATATTTTCTCACTCCGAGATTTATACGCTATTACGCCTTAAATGTCAAAAATAAAAGGCGTTCACGTTGATTAAGCGTTTTCCCCTATATATTCGCCTGCCAAACTGAAAAATAAGAGTCTCCTTGAATAACAATCACCTCCAGCACACTGTCTTAAATATATTAAGTGATGTTATAAGGGAACCTTCTCTCTTCTCTCATTCTCTGAACGCTTGTTTACCTTTGATTAAACGCCGGCATTGACATAAGGGAACAGTTTCTTATTAGCCACTCGTTCGGCTCAATTTTAAATTTACCGTGCACAGCAAGACCATTATCTGTATCCACGAGTTAAGCAATGTTATTTCTTACGTAATAATGTAACTGAGTCCCGTTCGTTCTTTGCCATGACCATGCACGTGTCTCATTAACGATATAGTGTCTCCTCAGTACTCCTTTGAAGAACCTATTTCTTCCCCGAATAAGCACTCCCTCAGTGGCCAAGCTAGTATATAAGCAGAACTGGCCCTACCTATCAGTTATTCCATTAACATAACATAACGTAACGTATTTATTATCGAACTAATATTGCGAAGTTCTTTAGCCTGGGACTTGTTGGCTCCTTTATGGGTACGGAATACCGGGTATGGACAACCCAACTCGCTTGTGGCTGAACTTTTCAAAAATAAAAGCCAAATGCTTAATAGAGAGTACTAACCTGTCATAAACATCTGCTCTCGTAACAGGAACGGTGGGGTCTGAATCATGTGGTTCAAGGTAGTAATCTTTTCTGCCACAGTTGTTGTCTTCTATTAAGTGTAGGTACTCGGTCGCGACACTCTGTTGTGAAAAATAAGCCCAATATTGAAGTTTAGAATAAACATACCAGCCAGGAGCCCATAACCCGGAGCGAGCAACTTCCATACTAGGCCTATGTCACGGCGTTTTTACGGACCAGCTTATTTTTAGACACATTTTAAGGGGCACTTCTTCCCGCGAAAATATCTATGAGCGCATTCGAAGTATAAGATTTCAAAACGGAAAAGGCAGAAAATACCATTTTTAGGTCTGTAGGTTTTGCTGACTAGTTTGTGAAATTTAAAAGATATTCAAACTTCGCGCCAAAACCGTTCTAAAAATAAACCGGTCCGTGAAAACGTCGTGACACAAGCGCATGGAAGTTGCTCACTCCGGGTTATGGGCGCCTGACCAGCAAAAGATGCGCATCCCTCATAATCTTTCTTTCAATTGGCAGTCGAAATTCTCTGATCTTATAGAATCGTAAATTTTTATAATCTGTATAGCGTTAGCATCTACATTGCGTCAGTCTAAAAAAAAAAAACAGCATGCAGATCGTGTTATATCATTTCATGGCCGAGCTGCGGGAGGGGCCAAGGGGGCCCGGGGCTCCACCTTCTTTATAGGCCAAACTGCAGTCATGAGCGGGTCCCCCACTTAGTTAGAGATTTGAATCCGCCACTGTCATTGCAAATATGGTAATTTTTTAAAGAGCACACAGTATAAGTCATCTCTTCATATTCTTCCTGCAAAGCTTAATTCCCGCTCGCCCCATCAAAACAAAGGATATATACACTCAAGAGAGTATCCCCTTTTGATGAACTTCATTTTTTCCTTTGAAGGACCTACTGTTCAATAAGTTCTGACAAGAGAGAGGATAAGTTCTCTTAGCTCCTCCTTTGCCTCAAAAACAGTAGAAAAAAGGCCTCACCTGGGAAGCGCGTTGCTCAAGTATTGTACCAATCGATTGGCTGATTTGATCAAATTTAGGCCGCTTGTCGGGTCCTTCCTGCCAGCAATCTTGCATAATTTTGTACATCTCCGAAGGGCAGTCTCGGGGATTTTCCATACGGTTTCCATCATTGAGAAAGTCTAGGAGCTCCTCTACGGGTATAGTGGGATACGGTGTGCGGCCCAGTGTAAAGATCTCCCACAAGCAAATACCAAACGACCATCTACATTATTAAATGTCAAGGTTCAAAACATACACACTCGAAGGGTCATTCCAAACCAAAAGGGTGTCAATAAAGCTCTGTAAGCTGTTTAAGCTAAACTATGGACTCGAGGAAACAGATGGTAAGCTGCTATTAACTCCACTACAAGGGAATTATTGGAATCAAAACTTACATGTACTGCCTATCATCTCTGTGTACAAGAGAGTCAAAGCTTAGAGCGTTCCAATTTAAATTCCTTCACAGAAAAATAGCCACAAATGACTTTCTGTACAAAATAGGTATCAAACAAACAGATTCCTGTTCCTTTTGCGAGGAACAAAAAGAAACCCTCGTTCATCTATTCTGGACTTGCAAATACACTCAGAACTTCTGGAAAAGAATGTTCGAGTGGATCTCTCAAAATTTCAAAGATTTAGAAAACGTCTCTCCCTCCTTGTCTCTCTGTTTCGGTCTAATTGACGACCTAAAAGACCTTCTCTTTCATCACCTACTCCTTATAGCTAGACATTACATATACACTTGCAGACTTGGGAACAAGCTTCCTAAGCTGCAGGTGTATATACAGGTACTTATGAACTCGATAGAAAATGAAAAGCATATTGCATTCCACAATAACGACTCAAACGTCTTTGTACGGAAATGGTCTCGCTTTTAAAAATAACCTCTCACAAAATCTATTGCATTAACAATATATAAGAAGCGTAAAACGTAGAATCCCTTGACTTGAAATCAAAAATCTTGTATGACCTTTTGTGTGATTTTATTTTACTATATGTATATACTTTTTGCTTGATTTATTTGTTTATTTTAGTCTCGTACCTTTCTGTTTTCGGTGGCAATATTTGTTTTCTTTGTTTAGTCATAAAAATTAGTTGCATACTAGAAACAGCTCCACGTCTTTCAATTGCTTTGTAAAATGTAGAATCCCTTGACTTGAAATCAAATATCTTGTATGACTTTTTGTGTGATGTTATTTTACTATATGTATATACTACAATGTATGTCAATACTTGTTGTGGTAATAAAAAAAAACTATTGCATTTCATCGACGGACTAGTCATTGAAGTAACATTTCGAACTAAATCAGTAAAACATAAACAAATACAGTCATGTAAACGTGCGACAGATAAGGTTTCATTTGAACAGCCGATCACATCACAGCATTTTACCACAGAGATAAACTAGGGACTATTTTTGAAATGTCTCTATTATTGAATCTGGAAGTAAAAAGATTAACTTTAGCGCAAGTCTCAGACGATTGTAGTTTTCTTCTTTGAATTTCCGGCCTTTTCTGTAAAGTGAGCAATAGGCGTCAGTTCCAAGGCCACAGCCTGCTCATTACCATGGAATTCTTCTAGTTCTATGTCGCCCTCACTCCCCGACGAGCCACCGCAAATCTCTGGTTTCAGCAACTGTCGTCTCTCCTCTGATTCCGGATCGAATTGATCTTCCATGTCACCTGGTAATGGAGGCAAGGGATTGTTTGCAATATTTTCACTTGATCGCCTATAAGAAGAGAACAACGTTGTCAACCATAGTAGATTCCTATAAAATTGACCATACATTTTAGATCATGTGCAAGATTATAGAAGGGAACGTGAATCACACTAAAACATTTTACGACGAGCCGATAATTCTGTGAGACAAGATCGCAATGAACTATTTTATTATCATTATTTCAAATCTTGATGCCAACCGCAATGGACTCGAAACATGATTTGTACGCTGCGAACGGAGTTATATTTTCTCACTCCGAGATTTATACGCTATTACGCCTTAAATGTCAAAAATAAAAGGCGTTCACGTTGATTAAGCGTTTTCCCCTATATATTCGCCTGCCAAACTGAAAAATAAGAGTCTCCTTGAATAACAATCACCTCCAGCACACTGTCTTAAATATATTAAGTGATGTTATAAGGGAACCTTCTCTCTTCTCTCATTCTCTGAACGCTTGTTTACCTTTGATTAAACGCCGGCATTGACATAAGGGAACAGTTTCTTATTAGCCACTCGTTCGGCTCAATTTTAAATTTACCGTGCACAGCAAGACCATTATCTGTATCCACGAGTTAAGCAATGTTATTTCTTACGTAATAATGTAACTGAGTCCCGTTCGTTCTTTGCCATGACCATGCACGTGTCTCATTAACGATATAGTGTCTCCTCAGTACTCCTTTGAAGAACCTATTTCTTCCCCGAATAAGCACTCCCTCAGTGGCCAAGCTAGTATATAAGCAGAACTGGCCCTACCTATCAGTTATTCCATTAACATAACATAACGTAACGTATTTATTATCGAACTAATATTGCGAAGTTCTTTAGCCTGGGACTTGTTGGCTCCTTTATGGGTACGGAATACCGGGTATGGACAACCCAACTCGCTTGTGGCTGAACTTTTCAAAAATAAAAGCCAAATGCTTAATAGAGAGTACTAACCTGTCATAAACATCTGCTCTCGTAACAGGAACGGTGGGGTCTGAATCATGTGGTTCAAGGTAGTAATCTTTTCTGCCACAGTTGTTGTCTTCTATTAAGTGTAGGTACTCGGTCGCGACACTCTGTTGTGAAAAATAAGCCCAATATTGAAGTTTAGAATAAACATACCAGCCAGGAGCCCATAACCCGGAGCGAGCAACTTCCATACTAGGCCTATGTCACGGCGTTTTTACGGACCAGCTTATTTTTAGACACATTTTAAGGGGCACTTCTTCCCGCGAAAATATCTATGAGCGCATTCGAAGTATAAGATTTCAAAACGGAAAAGGCAGAAAATACCATTTTTAGGTCTGTAGGTTTTGCTGACTAGTTTGTGAAATTTAAAAGATATTCAAACTTCGCGCCAAAACCGTTCTAAAAATAAACCGGTCCGTGAAAACGTCGTGACACAAGCGCATGGAAGTTGCTCACTCCGGGTTATGGGCGCCTGACCAGCAAAAGATGCGCATCCCTCATAATCTTTCTTTCAATTGGCAGTCGAAATTCTCTGATCTTATAGAATCGTAAATTTTTATAATCTGTATAGCGTTAGCATCTACATTGCGTCAGTCTAAAAAAAAAAAACAGCATGCAGATCGTGTTATATCATTTCATGGCCGAGCTGCGGGAGGGGCCAAGGGGGCCCGGGGCTCCACCTTCTTTATAGGCCAAACTGCAGTCATGAGCGGGTCCCCCACTTAGTTAGAGATTTGAATCCGCCACTGTCATTGCAAATATGGTAATTTTTTAAAGAGCACACAGTATAAGTCATCTCTTCATATTCTTCCTGCAAAGCTTAATTCCCGCTCGCCCCATCAAAACAAAGGATATATACACTCAAGAGAGTATCCCCTTTTGATGAACTTCATTTTTTCCTTTGAAGGACCTACTGTTCAATAAGTTCTGACAAGAGAGAGGATAAGTTCTCTTAGCTCCTCCTTTGCCTCAAAAACAGTAGAAAAAAGGCCTCACCTGGGAAGCGCGTTGCTCAAGTATTGTACCAATCGATTGGCTGATTTGATCAAATTTAGGCCGCTTGTCGGGTCCTTCCTGCCAGCAATCTTGCATAATTTTGTACATCTCCGAAGGGCAGTCTCGGGGATTTTCCATACGGTTTCCATCATTGAGAAAGTCTAGGAGCTCCTCTACGGGTATAGTGGGATACGGTGTGCGGCCCAGTGTAAAGATCTCCCACAAGCAAATACCAAACGACCATCTACATTATTAAATGTCAAGGTTCAAAACATACACACTCGAAGGGTCATTCCAAACCAAAAGGGTGTCAATAAAGCTCTGTAAGCTGTTTAAGCTAAACTATGGACTCGAGGAAACAGATGGTAAGCTGCTATTAACTCCACTACAAGGGAATTATTGGAATCAAAACTTACATGGTTTGCATATGAAGCGCTACATTCAAGAATCGTTATCAGTAGTATTCTTTTTCTTTCCAGTACTATTTATAAAAAATGGAAAGTGTTATCTGCTGTGTTTAAATACCCTGATATAAACACGAGATTCGGGTGTTGGGAGAATTTAAGAGAATTCGTACAAATTGCAAACCACAGAAAAACAGTTTTCTGCTAAGGTGCTTTTATAGCGGCAACTTTCCCGAGAAAAAGTTGCTACCTAGCTCTTTCTTTATGGCGCTGATGAAAAGAGCAGTTCTTACTAGTCGCAAAGTGTTGTATCTACACGAAGTTTTGTACGTGTAATCAGTACGTTTTTGTTTTTCATTTATAATAAAGTTCAGATATAACGTGCGCTCTGATTTGTTTCAAAAGTGTGCTTTATGAGAGTATAAAACATGCTGACGACACTCTTTTGCTTTAAAAAAAAAAAGATTGTTTTGAAAATTAAAAAGGAATGTGTGGAGAATTTAACGGATTCTTTATATTCATAAAACAAATAAAGAAGTCTTGACTGAGCTCTATTTTGTTGTACTACTCAAGAAGTAGAGAGGAACACTCGACTACATCTCGTGTTTCCCCCTACACTTCTTTCGTGTTCTAGCCGCTGCCAGTCGTGCGTGCTTTACAACGTACAGAAAAGAACACAGTCAAGGCTTCTTTATTTGTTAAAAAAAGGTGATATTTTAAAGGACGGATTCTTCACCCTTAAAATGTTGCCTTGAACGTAAAAACTTTGATATAGCACGTTTTTAAAGATTTTTCAAGTTCCATGCCTATAAGTTATGGGTTAATAAAGTAAACTTGTCGAGTTTTTCATACCATGGTTGCGTGGTTGTGTTTAACTGTGTTACTCGCATGCAAATATACTTCTCAGCCAATCGGAGAGCGCCTACTAAACTATGTTATGGCAAGTTTAACTTAATTGCAGTAATCAAAAGGCCAGCTTCTTTTTAATTTGAACGCCTAGTTACGCACTAATTATATAGTTGTCATCCTTGAGTACGATCCCC